AATCTCTATAAAGCACTATACTTTATATAATAAATTCTAATCACAAACAGTGTTTGCGTCTATAGCCTGGTTCACACTAACAATTCTGTCGGCGATTTTTCTCCTCCTGGCAAATGTGATCGAATGAATGACATGCAAAATACTTAGAATTGTTTACTTCTGAAGAGACTCTATTCTTTTGTGTGCGAGTTCACTCATTTGCATGTCAGAAACACAAAATTGCTAGTGTGAACTAGGCTGATAACTCTATAATAACATTTTCGTTGAAAACAGCTCTTATTTCAGTAATGCATGAGTCAATGTAACCCCCCCCCAGGGGTTTAGATCAGAAAACACTCCCAAGAGGGTGGGGGATTTGAAGCTTTTAGAATTTATTTATCCCCAGGGTACGTAGATCGGGTAGGGATTAGTAATGAGCCAGACAGTAAGTTGTCGATTTTTCAGCGGTTGTTCATCTCAAGTGGCGTTTTAACATCTAGCTCGTATTATCTTTGCTTCGCGCGCTTTGTGTGCGAATGCAATCCATAATAGTTCATTGCAGTCCATACATAGTTGTTTGAAATGTTAAAAACTATGGGCAAAGGCCCCAGGTACAGGGGTCATATTTTGACGATCGGAACCTTCGATAATCCCCAGGATGTAAGGCATTTGCGAATATTAGAACAAGGTGAAAGTCAAATCCCCACCCTAGCCTAGCCCGGGGTTCGGAGTTTACATTGAATTATCATGCATAAAGTTATATTCAATTATAACAGTTATAAGAAACAGTGAAACACAGTTAAATAGCAAATACTCAGACTAAAAAGCAAGCTTGTTAGTGGTTACGTACCAGTTAAAACATGAGCAGCCAATCTTTATCTGATATACAATCTCGAGCCGAAGGCGAAATGCGAATGTTTTAACGTGCTTAAAAAAACGATCCATCTTATGAGTTCATTGGCGAAGTAATTTTAAAAATAAACATTGTCTAAGCCGAGAAAATGAAAATCAAAGCTGAAGTTTATGTAAATCAGGACAAATCTTATCCGATTTACAAACATTGATTAAACATTCA